CTCTTCTGGAACAGTTTTTTTTTTGGTTCCCGCCCCCCCCCCCCCCCCCGCCCCGCCCCAGTCCACCACGGCTACAGTACGGGTAAAGTGGGCAGAACCGCCGTCTCAGAAGCGTCATTCGCTACTTGAAGTCTCCGGGAATAAGCTTGCATCTTCTTCACCAGGGACGAAGGTGACAGCACAGTGGGAAGCGCGCACAGGCAGAGCTGCAGGCCGCGGTGCAGTTTGCACCCGGGAGCGCACACCAAACCCAGCGGGCACCGCAACTCAGGCCCTGGTCTCCAGGGCAGCCGACAAAGCCGCACCCCTTCCCGTGCCCGGAGCCAGGGATAACAACTACCCGGCCGGCCAGGGTCATGGCGTTCAGCCTTCTACTGCCCTCAGCCCCGCCGAGCTTACCTTCGCTCCGGCCCAGGATCCGGCAACACAGTCTCTGCAGCAGAACGCTGGGCGACTTCTGATCCGGGGTCGCCATTACCGCGCCCGGACTGCGTACCGCAGCCTCCCCGTGCCCCAGGATCCCGCGCCCGGACTACGGCGCCGCCATAGAAGCGGAAGCGGCAAAACGCGCGCGCCTCCCATAATGCACCGCGTCCCGCGCGCGGCGCGCATGCGCTTCGTCTCTTGGCGCGGGAAGCTCTGCGGCGGGGCCTGTAGGATGCTCGCGGTAACGTCGGATCCTGGCGGCCGTGCACTTCCGCAGCTTGCGGTCTGGACGCCGCTTTGTGAACATCACCGGTTGGATGTGGAGTCCGAGCGTGCATGAACCCTAGGACAGTGACAGGGGCGCAGGCGACGGCAGGACTTCTGCGCTGGGCTCGCGGAAGTGACTTCTCCCGGGTCTGGAACTTCTGCCCCTTGATGTCACCGGGAAGTAGTTCTGGGAATGGGGACCGTAGCTGGTGAAACGACCGGCTGGGACTCTGCGGTATTGAAAGAATCGGACGCAGGCACAAGAAGCCCCGTGCCGCTTGGGAGCCCAGCCCCGCAGCTCCTGCCGGGATACGCGGTGGTCGGCAGGTGAAAGTTCCCTTCTTGGCCACTGAGTCAGGTCTGTGATCGCAGTGGAGCTCAGAGATGGCTTAATGGAGAGCATAACCTTACTCGTCTTTTGGTCATAGACCGCTTAGCCACCCTTCTTGCCTGTTCTGTGGTGTACCGAATGCCGACAAGCTCCCTGGACAGATGCTACCTGGTGGGGCTCAGCCTGTGGAAGCCAACGATGGAAAACTGCAAGAGGAGACTCCCGGCTTCAGTCACATTAGACTGTGACTGTCTACACCTGCATCCTCAGCCCCATTCCTCATAGCGCCAACCTACTTTGTACCACCCACATAGATGATGCTCCATCAGAAGGTCTAGAATACGGCTGTGATGACTCATCATCTATTCCTGTGTCTTCCCTACCCCAGGGCAATAGCCAAGCTCCCAGTGTTCCACTTCCGTTTCCATCACCCAAGTAGCTAGTTCTCTCTCTTCAGTCCCCATAGATTATGTTTTGCTGACCAGGTCCTAGCACCATTCTTGACAAGAAAGTCTTAAGATGGCTTTCTGGACTGAATACTCACATACCTAATCGCCCATGTGATGACAATCGTGAGGGTGGCCACTGAGCCAGGAAAATCACCAGAGTGGTTTGCTGTTACGTGTGGCTCTCTGAGATAAAGGGCCAACTGATGGCAACACTCAGAAAGTTAAGCAGCTGCCCAGGCTAGTGTTTGGATAGTAACAGGGCCTTGAAGACAGTTGGCAGCTGTTGCCACCAAGCCTGATGCAGACTCACATGACAAAAAGAGAAGAACAACTCCCTCAGTTGATCCTCTGACCTCCCCATATGTGCTCACACCCACACAATATGAATTTTAAAACTTTTCTAGTCATAAACACATACCTGAAATTGGTCCAGATTTGACTTTCTATTTTTGTTAGTTTCCTTAACCTGTGGACATTCCCTCACTGTTGTGAATTTTTAAACATACTTAGTGCTATGTGCAAGGTCTTCTGGTATGATTCCCGATGTAAACTAAAGTCCACAGAAAAAGCATCTGTGTTTGAGATTCTACAAGACTGATCCACTGGTTAGAGCTTTGTGTTGGTAATGAAACCTTTGGCACATGCAACCGGACTGCTAGCTTATACCAACCCCAAAGCTCCAGACGCCACCAGGCAGTACCCAAACCCACAGCAGGAATTTCCCTGCTTTGATGTAACCTTATACCTGATGTCTGCACCAATGTATTTGGTAAATTCCTTGATTTATGACACATTTGTATCTTACCCAGCCACCATCTTCACCAACAGCTGTCCCACTATTGTCTGTGTCAAGTGCTTTACGGTTATACCCACACTCTTTACAGCAGCTGCCACAGGTCACCATCTCTGTCAGTCACCTCAGAGTGACATCTGACACATCATAACAGCCAGCACTTCTCACTGCCTGTGTCAAGGACCTCACAGTGACGTCTGAACTCTTCACAATAGCTGTGTCATATCACAATCTATAAAATACCTCAAGTTATACAACCAGGGTCATCACAACAGCCACCTCCAGTCACAGTCTGTATCAAACTCATCTGAGTTCTGTGGACTATTTACAACAGCCCACAACATGTCACTGTCAGGGTCAAGAGCCTCATGCCACATCTGAAATCTTGACAATAGACATACTGTCTCTGTCAGACATCTCATGCTAACAACCATAATCTTCATAGTAGTCACTATGTCACTGTGTCCAGCTCCTCAGTGACACCCAGAGTTGTCACAATAACTGTCTTGTGTCAAATTCCTCCACCTATGTCATCACTAGGTTCAACTTAATGTCTTAGCATCATCTTTTCTTTTCTCTTGCCTTCCTTTACTTTGGAAAACTGTATTAAACATTCACCTGAAAACTTGCTTTTAATTTATTGGCCATATATACATAAAATTCCTTTAAAATGACCAAGTTTTTTCCTCCAAATAACAAATGTGCATTGTAGAAAACTGAACCCAGGAAGGTGAAGCAAAAGGATTACTGTGAGTCCAAGGCCATCCTGAGCGTGTAGAGAGTCAAGGTTAGCTTCAGCTACTAGCAAGGCTCTATCTCAGGAACATAAGAACTAGGGATGTGGCTGGTGGTTTATAAAACCACAAGGCCCTGGGTGAGATCCCCAGCAGAATCAAAAAAAAGGGGGGGGGGCATGAAAAACCAAAAGGCTAAGGTGTTAACCCAGAGAGATGCTCACTGTGAAAATCTGGTATGCATACACCCACCACACATAATTGTACATATACATAATTGTACTACACAGAACGTTTTAACCTTCACCTATAAGATTATATTTCATATTTTTCTAGTCATAAAATAAGCTAAGGCTTGATCATTAGCAGTCACACGACATTCTACTGAATTGGTATACTGCAAGTTATAGGATTTGTTTCTTCTTTTCATTCTCAGGTATTTCAGCATTTTATATATAAGAAATATAAAGCAATTTTAAAGACAGCTTTGGGTACAAACCACATCCATCCCTGGAGTCCAGAGTCTGCAGCTTCTGTCTCCTCTAGGGCTCTAGGTCTGAGTCATAACTATTTCTCTGAGGATAAATCTGCCAGCCAGTGTAGAAGCAGGACAACAGTGGGAAGCCCTGCCTGATAACATGAATGCCTTTGGTCACTGTGTCCTGTACCCTGTCATCAGGCAGCATTGGGAAGTAGAGGGAGGGTACACAGTCAACTCAATCGTGACCTGCCATCTTCCTTCTGTGTGACTGTCGCACCCTGAAGCATAGCTCACCAGGCTGCAGCGTGACTGCCACCAGTATTGTGAGGGTGAGTCTGAGACCCACTAACAGGTTCTGAGAACTGTGCATCCACCCTTGAAAGCATTCCTCCCTGAGGAAGACCTACAGGCGAGGCCCATTCTCGCACCAAAATGGAAACATAGTCCACATCACCATTGGACTGGCCTGTAGGGTGGCAGGACTTTACTGAAGTTCCTGCTACAGCACTCTCAGAGTTGGACCTCCTCAATTGGCCAGATTACCATGACCACCACAGCATGCCACCTAAGGGGCACCGAGACACAAAAATGAAACTTGGCAACAAGAGTTTAGATCTAAGCCGGGCATTGGTGGCACACGCCTTTAATCCCAGCACTCCGGAGGCAGAGGCGAACAGATCTCTGTAGTCTACACAGTGAGTTCCAGGACAGGCTCCAAGGCAATACAGAGAAACCCTGTCTAAAGAGTTTAGTTCTAAAGTCTGCATTAAAGGAATGATTGGCTGTAACATACAGTTGTGCTTCTCATTTTAACACATTAATAAGTTAGGAGCTAAAAATCTATCTGAATTTTAAAAATCAAGCTGAATTTTTTTAAAAAAGAAATCCTTACCAGGTGACTTCTACCATGACCCAGAGCTATGTACTAGCAAGCAGTGTGTGATCCAAAGTCCCCTGGGTACTGCAAGGAAAGTCAAGTCCCCTGCAACTTCTCTCTCTATATATATATGTGTGTGTGTGTGTGTGTGTGTGTGTGTGTGTGTGTGTGTGTGTGTGTGTGTGTTTCAAGATAGGGTTTCTCTGTGTAGCCCTGGCTGTCCTGGAACTCTATACACCAGGGTGGCCTCAAACTCGCAGAGATTCGCCTGCCTCTGCCTCCTCCATCCTGGGATTAAAGGTGTGCACCACCACTACCTGGCCTCTGTAACTGCAGGTCATGCTGAGAAACCCACACTGCAGTTACATACCAGTCACTAGGTGTCTCTAGCTAGGTGCTAGAGGAAAAAAAAAATCTGCCTGTGGTCCAGAATTACTTCGACTTCTATGAGTCTCCAGGGTAGACCGAAAGAGAGGAAGAGTTAACCACTGTTGCACCTGGGCACACCCAAGGAGGTTCAGCAGGTGTATCCGGCTCAATAGGATTCATGAAGGTGGTTGAGGCTTGAGGCTAACGCTAGGCTGGCTGATCCATCCATCCATCAGCTGGCCTATGCTGCCCTCTGCCGGCCAATGGGGCTGAAGAGCCACTCTAAGACAAGAGACCTGGAATGGGGGAGTCAGCTGAGTGTTTTAGAGAAAATTTGGCAAGCATGGATTGTTGGGGAGTTCTCACCCTTATGCAAATGAATCTTGCTGAGAAAGGCTAAGGCTGGGGAAGTGTCTTGTTCTCAGAAAGTCTATGAGGCCTTTCCCCTCTGTCACTGGTAAGGGAGGGAGACAGGAGGCAGCGGTGTTCTGAGAAGCCCTTCAAAACCTCTTTCTTGGTTTTCAGTCTTTCCAACAAGTGGCAAAACACCCAGCAGGGTACAGCTTTGAGATTCAGTTTTTCCATCTTTAAAACAGAGGTGAACATGTTTGCCATACAGGATTTTGAGAGGGGAAGTATTAGTTTTTCAAAAGTGCCAGTGAGGTGTGCAAGCCACCTTTCCTGTGTAAGTAGTACCAACTCTCATCAATGAGGGAGATACACAAACACACACACACACACACACACACACACACACACACACACACACACACACCAAGAAAACCCTTGATGCAATGCGATATTGACAGATAGTGGGGAGTCCTGTCCCAACAGACACATCTACATC